GAGGAGAAAGAAAGGAGGAAGAGGAGAGGGAGACAATGGAGGAGGAGAGGAAGAGGAGGAGGAGGAAGAGGAAGAGGAGAGGAGGAAAAGAAAGAAAGAAGAGGAGAGGGAGACAATGAAGAAGGAGGAGGAGGAGGAGGAATAAGAAGAGGGGGAGGAAGAGGAGAAAGAAAGAAGGGAGGAATGAGGAGAGGGAGACAATGAAGGAGGAGGAGAAAGAGGAGGAGGCAGAAGAAGAAGGAGAGAAGGAAGGAAAGGAAAGGAAAGGAAAGGAAAGGAAAGGAAAGGAAAGGAAAGGAAAGGAAAGGAAAGATAACCTTTCCACAGGTGAGCTGGAAGGTTTACTTCCCAGCTTCTGTGCACAGCCCACCGCATGGGACCTGGCTCCAAAATCAGAAATGGCCCCAGGGTACCCCCCGTCTCTCGTGGCACACATAACACACTCAAGCAAAACAGGACACGGGACGTTCCGGGTTACCTTGAATGGCTGATTTCCAGGCAGCAAAAAGGAAACACAAACCAGGAAACAATTCAACATTTAGTCTTTGGAGGAGTGGGAAACAAGCAAGCGAGCAAACACAAACAAAAACTCTGAACGCAGCAGCCCAAATCCCCGGGTCTCCCTTTGAGCTTCTTTAGGAGAACGCTGCACCAAGCGATGGACGCTAGGCTCACTTTGCAGGGTCGGCCATCTTGGCCAAAACCATCCCCTCCCCTCCTCTTCCTCCCCCCATCGCTCCTTACCAGCTTTCTTCCCGAATTCGCCCTCCAGTTCTGCCTGGGCCCCCGTCAAGGGCAGGTCAACCATCTCCAGACTAACCACCTCAGCCAGAGACTCTTCCCGGGTCCACCAAATCTTTCCTGCCAAGAGTGAGATTAAGTGAGCAAAGACGAGAAGGGAAAAAAAGTTCTTTCCTTTCTAGCCGTGGATGGAATCTCCCAGAGGGCAGAGCAGGCGAGGAGGAAGAAGGGCTACCTGGGCTTCCCAAAATCACGAAACCTCCTCGTCCTGACAAAACCCCTTTTTATTTAGGCTAATGTAAATTCTTATCATTCGCATCCAGCAAAGTCCCGGCAAACAGTCTTTCAAGGGTGATTTACAATCACAGATCTTATCAGGCTTGGAGAGCTGCCAGGCCGATAGCTTCCAAGCGCAAAGCTGTAGCAGAAAATACTTGGCAAGGAGTCACGGACAAATCTTCACACTAATTAGATGAACTATTGTCTCCTGCAAACACACCCCTCCCCTTTCGCTCCTCTTTCTTCCCTATGGGAGGGGCCATTCACTGTCCACCTGTGCCCTTACTCCTGAGTCGACCCTTTTTCCTTAGCTGTTCCCTTCTCCTGGCAGCTCTGTGCATGCGCACATTGGAACAGGCTCCGGCTGCTCTTCTTCTGCCCCACTGATCTCCAACTCCAAAGGCAGCTGATAACTGTCGGACGGCCCTGGCCCCATCTCTGTCTCCGATGCAGAGCCCTCGTCAGAGCCTTCCCCAGACTCCAGGACTGGCCCAGGTACCTCCCCAACCTCCTCCCTGTCCGAGTCTGCTGCCAGCTCTGTTGGCCGCTGGGCCACAACAGCTACGAAGCTCTGGCCCAGGTCTGGCCCCAAGCAGAGGGTACCATGAAGGGTGCAACACCACTCTGCGCTCAAAGGGGTACCTGGCTGTTGCAGGAACAGGAGGAGGTGATCCTCCGTTTGCACCAAGGCACGGTACCCGACGGAATCATCCTTCTTTAAAAAGACCTGAATGAAGAGCTGCAACAAAGGGAAGAAATGGATGAGCGATAGAAAAAGGGCGTTTTCTCTCTCTCTCTTTTTAAAAATATTCGTATTGTACATTTTTCCTTTATTATACATCACATTTCCAGTTTTGCAATGGCAGTGTACTGGCTGTATCAAGTCCTTTTTATATGTACATCGTATTTATACATCCTGGTTAGAACCATTATTCTCATAGTCATACAGTGTAGTTCCTTTTAAATGCATAGTATTGTACGCCACAATTATAACTATTGTTTTCACAGTTGTACCGTAACACTCTAATTACATTTATTACTTTTAATCTATATTTGTGTACGGCCCAATAGCGATATTGTTTACGGTATATATTGTTACATATATCTATATACCTGTACTTATTTCTATTTTATTAATCTTCTTTCGTTACTAAGTTACTAATCTCTACACCTGTAATTTAACTGTTTGTACAAGGCATCCCATGTTAAGTAGTATTGGTTCCTCTTTATCTTTTAAGTTCCATCATTAGCCTGTCCAATTCGGCACATTCTAGTGGTTTTTTTTTAATTACCTTTTCATCTGTAGGTGTGCTTTCGTTTTTTCCAATTTTGTGCATGTGTGATTCTAGCTGCTGTTATTATACGTAACATTAAATATGTGGTTCTTCTATTGTATTTCCCCGGTAATATACCTAATCAGAATAATTCTGGTTTTAGATCTATTTGCTGTGCTCAAAGCACAATCTTTGGCAAGGGGTGGTTGGTTTTTTTAAAAATGCAGCGTGATCCCAGGGAAAAACTCTCGCCGAGCGATGGCTGCAAGGCTGGGAACACGCCCCGCTTATCGGAAGCACCGTTACCTGCTCAGGCCTGATGCTACTCTTCTCCAGAGTGAAGGTGATGAGAGTGTCCAGAAGCCTCTGCCCGGTTTCAGCCAGGTACAAGTTGATGGTGTAGGCCTGGGCAGGGCAGAAAGGGCCTTCCTTGGAGGGAGAGAATGAACAGAGCGAAACGGCCTTCAGTCTCTCACAAGGATGGAAGTTACCCCCCAGGGAAGAAGCGAAAGATTGAACAACGCACTTGGGGTTCAAACAGGCACCCGCCGTTTCAAGCAGCCTCTTAAAACCTCTTGTAAGAAGAGACTGGACAACCGTTTGTCTGAAACGTTACAGGGTTTCCTGCTTGAGGAGGCGGTTGGACTAGACAAAAGACCTCCCAGTTCCCTCAGGCTTGAAGAGTTGCCAGGCCGATAGCTTCCAAGTGCAATGGTGTACCAGAAAATACTTGGCAAGGAGTCCTGAACAAATCTTCCCCCTAATTAAATGAACTAATTGTCTCCTGCAAACATACCCCTCCCCTTTCGCTCCTCTTTATTCCCAATGGGAGGGGCCGTTCACCGTCCACCTGTGCCCTTACTCCTGAGTTGACTCTTGTTCCTTAGCTGTTCCCTTCTCCTGGCAGCTCTGCGCATGCGCACATCAGAAACAGGCTCCAGCTGTTCTTCTTCCCCACTGATCTCCGACTCTGAAGGCAGCTGGTAACTGTTCAACGGCCCTGGCTCTCTCTCTGCCTCCGACGCAGAGCCCTCGTCAGAGCCTTCCCCAGACTCCAGGACTGGCCCAGGTTCCTCCCCAACCTCCTCACTGTCCGAATCCGCAACCAGCTTCGCTAGCAGGCCACAACACACACCCACTTCATGCAGGGATGTATATTTACCCCTTCGCCCTTGCAGGCAAGGACAGCTGTCACGGTCTTCTCACCGGTAGTCGCAAAAGTCACAAGGCTGGCCTGGGTAAACACAATGCGAAGAAAGACAACGAGAGATCAATAGCGCATGGATCACAAAAAGATTTTGGGCAAAAACACACACGTGGTTAGAAAAGCTGCTAGGAAAACATGTAGATCTTAAACCTGAACTTTTTTTATTGGTATAATATCAGGAAAAAAATGATAAACGAAGCGTATATTTAATATTGCATGAATTAAAAAGGATTGTATTTGCTCAGCATTGGAAAAATGTAGAATTAGCGCTAGATGATGAGATAATTAAGAAGATATTGGACTGGGCAGAAATGGAAAGGCTTACTTTGAAGATTAAACAGATACAGACTATTATCAAACATGGAATTTATTTTATCGATGGCTGGAAAAATGCAGTAAAGTTTAGGAATGTAATTTGTTGTTTTTTCAGTTTTTTTTTATTTTTAACATACAATAAATCCATTCCATTTCAATCGTGGGCCGATTAGGTACATATTTCATGTGCTTAACAATTACTAATATTCTTCTTCTTAACAGTATAACCATATAATAATCACATTCCCATATGTATATGTCTATTATACTATTTTCTCTTATTGCTTTATAATTATGTCAAATCCCTTTTAATCAATTTTATTTTCTAGCCATTTATAAAACAAGTCCCGTACCATGTAATATTCAGATTCTTTTTTTCCCTTTAATTTCTAATGTTAATCTATTCATGTCTGCAGATTCAAATATTTCTTTCAAGATTAGGAATGTAATTTGTGTCCTTATTATTATAATCAAACAAAATAACCCAGACAACACGATGTTTATTAAGCGCTAAATAAATTTGATAGCAGAGAAAAAAAAAGATAGCGCATGCATCACTTCACACAACACTCACAAAATCCAGAATCCTGGGAGTCAAAGTCCACATATTTTAAAAGGGATCAGCGTTGAGAAACACTGATATGAAAGCACCGAGGTCGGCCAGCATTTCGAGTCCTGGGCATTTCCACCCAACCTGCCTGAGTGTTCCTTGAAGGGGCGGGCGGGGAGGCAGGTCGAGCTCCCTTTCTGGTCACCTCACCTGCGGGAAATTCCGAAGGAGGCTCAAGACGCCGTGCCGATATTGCAAGAGAGCGAAGTGGGTGGGCGACAGACGCAGGTAGAACTGAGGCCGGGGAGCTCTGGCTGGGTTCGGCTGGGAGGACAGGATGCCGGCTTCGGAAAGGTCTGCAAATTCCAGGCCGAGAGACTGCAGGAAGCGAGGGGGGGGTGGGGAAGAGAGCAGGCCGATCAGCCAAGGGAGCTGCACAGGAAGTGAACACCTGGATGCTTTGGGGCATTGTAACCGCGCCGGCCGCAGTTGAAAGGAACATGCATTTCCCGGTTCCAGGATCGAAAAACCTCTCAGAGTGATGTGGTGGCCTAGAGGTGGAGCCCTCGCCTCACAATCAGGAGGCTATCAGTTCGATCCTAGGTAGAGGCTGGGCACAATGAGAACACATCTGCTGCAAAAACTCCGCACTGGGGACAGGAAAGGCATCTGGCCAGTAATCACTCTGCCCAGATTCCACCCCACAAGGGATTAACGGGAGTCACGGAACAAGGAACTCAGAAGTACCTCTCAGCTTTGCCCCAATGGGACAGACCAGCTCATTTCTGGACCCCTCACCTGCAGCGGAACCTCCTCCATCTCCTCCTCCGCCTCCAGGGACAAGGTGTAAAGGGACTGAGTAGCTGGGTTCACACACACGAGCGTCACTTCTTCTACGACGCTGCAAGCCCCCGCTAGGTTCCTCAACCAGGGAGCTGCCACCCTGATCTGCGAAAAGCAAAGAGAGACGCTCGCTCCTTATCCCAGCTGGGAATGAACCAGCAAAGGCGCATGGCAGAAAACTAACTGCCTGCTTAAAAGGCAGAGGTGCACCCAAAATATTTGACGTGGTCGTAATTTTACCGCAAGAAAAAGACTTTTTGCGAGATTACTGTCTTCCCTCCCTTCTCTTCCCCCAGCCAACCTGGCGAAGGAAACCCCACTGAACGCCAAGTGGTCGCTTCACCTGTCTTGTCATTTCGCCATCCTCGATGCTGAAGGTCAGGATGCTGAGGTGGCTTTGTGGAGAAATTCCGACAACATGCACCACACCTGTTCCGTGGGAATAGACTAGCTGATACTGGACCATCTCGCTGATAAAAGAAAAGCAGGTGCGAATTAGCATATGATCAGGTTGTCTGTTTTAAGCCATCTGACCTTCTTTCTCAGAGGAGCTGAACTCCTGAACTTTCCGGGTTAAAATTTTATACCTTTAAGGATGGATATAAAATACGCAGAATGAGAGGCAGCTCTGAAGACCCTTAAAAGTTGCTTATTTTCAATCCATATTACAGGCAGTCCTTGTTTAGTGACCATTTGGGACTGGTAATCCAGGTGTCAAGAGAAGCAGTCACTAACTGAAATGATAACTTGTGCTTATGTTTTTAACTCAGCTTTCCTTTCCCTGCAACGTTTGTTAAGCTTTAAAGTTACTTTCCCATCACTGTTGCAACTGTGAACAGTTGCTAAATGAGGCAGTTGCTAAACAGGAACGATCTGTAATCTATTTGTCAGCTTTGGAATCCTTATTGAAAGCTGCCACCCAGCTGCGGAGGATGGAAGGGGGATGCTGTTGTTTGAGTAGCTTTCAGTCGACAAAATAGCTGTGTAAAACCTTCAAGGTCGTTCTCTATGGCACAGCAAGAATTGTAGCTGAAGGGTGATTGGTTCACGGTGATTTATGATGTGAAAGAAAAGGGGTGGGTGTAGGTTGAGTCTTGTGGGAAGTCTGGGAGTAAACTTTAGTTTCGGAATTCCACAGACGTGCCAAGTTTCTGTTTTAATAAAACACTTTGAGATTATGGTTGTCTCGTAGCTACTGATTGGAACGGGTAATTTCTGGAAACTTGACACTATTGCCTGTTAGTAAGAAAAAACTTAACCTAACTGCTGTCAACTCATAAAATATTTCTACGGTCTTTTTAGAGTTGCCAACAGAAAGGGAAGGGGGGAAAGGGGTTTGGAGGAGCAGTGCGGCAGCTTGGAAATCGAAAGTGCATTCCACAAATAGTTTTTCAAAGGAAGTAACTAGGTGACTGAAGTTTCTGCTGGGCAAAATTCTAACTGGAGATCATGATTGATGACTCTGGGCTATGAAGGTGTCCCATTGGAGGATATGAATTAGGGAGGGTGGGGATACAACCAGGGTCAAGGGTGACCGTGAATGATGTGTCTCAGAGTCGGCTGCACCCAGGCAGTGCCGGACATGTTAACTCCAATAAATCCTTTTGAAGTTTTGGAAGTTTGGCTCGAGACTCATGATTTGATTGGGGTAACCGCCGGAATCCTGACAACGGCCAGGAATATGCTAACCCAACAGAATATTTCTGCTTTATAAAAATGAGTAGGGTTAGGGTTAGAGGCTATTTTCTAGAGTCAACCCACCTTTCTGGCAAATGTTCTGTCCATTTTTGGTAACCGTTGGAGAGATAATGTAGGAGCAGGGAACTCTTCTTCAAAATGGCCACATACTTCACAGCATCTTGGACTCCAACCAAGCTAGCCATCTGAAAGCTTAATTTAAGAATTTATTTTTTGTTTAAGAAATGGGCTTCTTTACTCACTTGTTGAAACTGATCCTAATCCAAAAGACTCTTACCTGCCAGCGTCCATCAAAACCTCCCAATTCAGGCCCCCAATGTTTGTTTCCCAAGAGCGCAGGATACGACCCCCGTTGGAAACCGTGATGGCATCTACAGAAAACAGGTGCAGAACATACAATTTCAGTGTTTGCCGGCAACCTGCAGAGCTGGCAGCAGAGTCGGACAGTGGGGAGGAACAGGGGCCAGTCCGGGAGTCTGGGGAGGACTCGGACGAGGGTCCTGCGTCCGATGCAGAGGTGGGGCCAGGACCATCTGGGAATGGGGTGCTGCCCCCAGAGACTCTAGAGTCTGGCAGCAGCGAGGCAGAGGAACAGGGGGAGCCTGTTCCCAGGGCGCGTATGCACAGAGCTGCTAGAAGGCAAGAGCAGCTAAGACAAAAAGGGGTGACTCGGGAGTAAGGCTGGGAGGTGACTGCCCCACCCGTAAGGTATAAAGGCAGTGCAAAGGTAGGAAAACCTTTGCAGGAAGCAACGTTGTTCACTCTGTTCGGATTAAACATTGAAGTTCTATGATTAATTTGTTCTCTGTTTGATTTTGGAAAGACTAATTGGGACTTTAGTCGTTGGCAGCACTTCAAGGCAAATAAAGGTGTGTTATTATCAGATTTCTCCCGAAGATTTTCGGCAGACGTCCCTGGGACTAATTATAACCGGTTAAGACTCATTCCGGGCTGTGAATGATGACAATTCACAGCCATTGAACTAAAATAAAAAGGGTTTTGAATTTTATGTGTGTTTGTCAGTGTCTCAGGAAGCCTTGATCAGAACACAGGTCGCATCAAACCGCCCCCCCCCTCCAGATTTTCCAAATTCCGGACGGCTCTTTTCAGAGACATTTTTCGACTTGTGGGCTAAAACCAAAAAAAATAATAATCAAGAAACAACATTTCAGGCAATCCTTGACTTACATTCATTTAATGACCATTTGAAGTTACAATGGCACTGGGAAAAATTATGACAATTTTTCACTTAGTGACCAAAATTTGGCCGCTTGGACGCTGACTCATATTTTTGACGGTTAGTGTCATGGGATCGTCAGCGGGGAGGCCAGTTTCATTTAACAACCTTGTTACTAAAAGTCTAGGGAGATTCTCAAGTCCTCCAGGTCATGGCTGTCCCAAAGGTGCTATTTTTTTCTTTTTCAAGAGGCAACTGGACTTTCTGGTTCTGACAAAAGTGAGGCTCCATTCAAAATCCGAGAAAGAAACCTTTAGACCCCATTGTTATAAAGCAGTGGTGGCTAACCTTTTTTGGGCTCCTGTGCCAAAAATGGTGTGAGCGCTTGCATGCGCGCGCTCACGTGCCAGCACCCAGAAGGCAACGCGCGTGCCCCCATGCCCCCTACGCATGCATGTGCAATCCCCACCCACCCAGCTCCCTTACCTGCACAGCTGATTTTCAGCCAATTTGAGGCCTTTTTCGGCCACCCAAAGGCTTGAGGGAGGCTTCTGCAGGCTTTGCAGGCCAAAAACTAGCCCCGTTTCGTCACTTCCGGTATTTTTGGAGAAACAGGAAGTGACGAAACGGGGCTAGTTTTCAGCCTGCAAAGCCTGCAGAAGCCTTCCTCAAGCCTTTGGGAGGCTGAAAAAGGCCTCAAACTGGTCAAAAATCAGCTATGAAGCGCGCACATGCACAGTGAGGTATGTTTACCTGCAGCTCGTGGGCCGGCACAAATGGCTCTGCATGCCACCTGTGGCACACCTACCATAGGTTCGCCGTCACAGTTATAGAGAAAAGGACTTTTACTGGAAATCAAGTGATAGCATCAAAAGAATTCAAGATCTGAGGCATTAGGGGCGAAAAATCACATATACAAAGTTATGGCAACGTTCCCACTCACGATAGTTCAAACTGGCCATCCAATCTGACATGTGTATAATGTCCTATGGGGCATCTTCAGGTCGTGATGCAGACATCTGACCGTCGACCTTGGCCCGGATAGATAAGAAGCTACAGCCGCGCAATAAGCAAGTGATAAAGTTTTCCCAAGTTTTACAATTCACCATCTCAAGCCTCCAGCACTCTCCCCCACCCGGCCCCCAAAGCCCAATTTATTTTCACTCCCCCTCCCCCCCATTTCTACGGCAGCCGGAAAGACAAGCAGAAGAAGGATTCTTGAAGGTTGACAGTTATTTTTTTCCATTGAAGACGTTTCGCTTCTCATCCCGGAAGCTTCTTCAGCTCTGACTGGATGGTGTTGGGGAAGGGAAGGATTGATCCTCCTTGCAGACAGCTGGTCATTTGGGGAAACAAAACAGCCACTTCATAAACGCGCGGCACAACATAGGAGAACAAGCCCATCAGGACTTAGATTCAGCAGTCCATTTGCATTTGAAAGACAAAAGCCGCTCTTTTGAAGACAGCAAAGCCCACATTTTGGGGCAGAGAGGACGCTGGTTTGAAAGAGGGGCTCAAAGAGGCCATCTATGTCCAAAGTGAACAGCCCTCCCTCAACAGAGGGGGAGGGATGCGACATCATCTGTCTCCAGTTTACAACACCGTCCTTTCAGCAGTTCCAAGAAGGTTCAGCACCCATTTGCGCTACTGTGGCCCTGAGGACACAAATTAACCTCCAAGTGGCCTCAACGACTCTCTAAAAAGGATGCAAATGACCAGCTGTCTGCAAGGAGCGTCAAATCCTTCCCTTCCCCACCAAACAGTCAGAGCTGAAGAAGCTTCTGGGATGAGAAGCGAAACATCTTCAAAGAAAACATGGAAGTCCAGTGGCCTCCTGAAAAAGCACCTTTGGGACAACCACGACCTGGAGGACTGAGAATATCCACAGACTTTTAGTTATGCACTTTGGGACGAGCATCCTTCGAATGGTGTGGGAGTATGAATGGGTTTCTGAAAAAATAATTGGAGACTATAGGAACCATTTGCACCACTCAGGTGACCCTGAGGACACAGACAAACCTCCAAGTGGCCTCAGCGGCTCTCTGGAAAGGACGCAAACGACCAGCTGTCTGCAAGGAATATGAATCCTTCCATTATTCCCCACCATCATCCAGTCAGAGCTGAAGAAGCTTCTGGGATGAGGAGTGAAACGTCTTCAAAGAAAAAAACCAGCAAGTCCAGTTGCCTCTTTTAAAAAAAGCACCTTTGGGACAACCTGGTTAACAACTTAACAGCTGCAGTGATTCATTCAACAACCCAGGAAAGAAAGGTCGTAAAATAGAGCTAAATTCACTTAACTGTCTCATTTAGCAACAGAAAATTTGGGCTCAATTGTGGTTGTACGTCGAGGATCACTATACTGCCCACATGGAGAAAGTGAGTAAATTGAGAAATGGCTACCAGGAGAGCGTCCCCTTCCTCACCTTGACCATGGATCAGCATGGCATCCACCGCCCCTTCAGGAGTCCCTTTGTCCACATGTCGCCACACTGGGGGGGCGGAAATAAAAAACGAGATCAACCTTTTAAGAAGGCCTGGCACCCACAGCAGAAGCTGCGCTCTTTCCCATTTGGGGGAGGCCCTTTCGCTCCCCGGGAGGCGCTCTAGGCAGGGACCCCCCAAAAGACACTCACGGATTTCACCACTGCGGGAGTTCAGCGCAGCCACCACGTTCTCCTCCGTAGCCACAATCAGCTTCTTGGAGGCGGGGGAGGCTTCCAAAAAGGCGAATTTGAGCTTGCCCACGTACTGCTGCCTCCTGCAATGCATGCAAAGAAAAAACACGTTTTCGCACACTTCCTGCAGTCATAAATGGAAACAACCAGGAGGGGTTAGAGATATTCTCTTCGCTGAAAGGAAAATAGGGGTCCTGGGGTGCAACTCTCATCTGTTCCCCAATGGCCATGATAGTCCAGCCACCCCCTCCTCACCTTCTATGTATTTATTTATTTGTAAAATGTTTTGGCTTGCCCATCTAATTAGAGAATAACTGTGAGGCTTACAACCCCAAAATCTTAAATATCTGTAAGATCACATACCCTTTTCACTCCACAAAGCGCAAGGCTCCCCCTGGGCAAATTGCATTAGTTCAGTGATTTATTTAGGGTATGGCAAATCACAGGAGCATTGATGAGGTTACCTAGTTGGGCCATGAAACATCTGCAAGAAAATATCCAAGTTCCGAGAGCACCAAGGACCCCACAATCCTTCTCTTCCTCCTCTACTATAAATACCCCTCCCTCCTAGCACTGATGTTACCTAGTTGGGTCACGAAATGCTTGCAAAAAACCGCAAAGCTTAGAGAGCACCTAGGGTCTTCTCTTCCTCCTCTTCCTCCTTCCCCACTTCCTCCCAGCACTGATGATGTTACAGTGTTTAGCTGGGTCATGAAACGTCTGCAAGAAAACCAGCCAGCTCAGAGAGCTACAAGGACCCCACAGTTGTCCTCCTCCTCTCTGCATACTCCCTTCTAGTACTGATGACATTACCTAGTTGGAGTAATGCAAGAAAACAACCAAACTCAGAGAGCACCAAGGACCCCAGTCATTGTCCTCCTCTTCCTCCTCCCTGCACATCCCAAACCTCCTAGCACTGATGATGTTACCTAGTTAGGGTCATGAAACATCTGCAAGAAAACAGGGACACTCAGTGAGCATCAGAGATCCCTCATGTCAACCCTGAGCTACAAATATTTCCTTCCTTCCTTCTTTCCTTCATCTGTCCTTCCATATTTCCAATTCATTTTCTCCTTCCTTTCCTTCCAGTTCAAACCTTTATTACCAATGCACAACATGCGTAAAATGAGATTGAACAAGCCTCCCTTGTGCAGCCCACCCAAGAACACGGAATACATCTCAGTCTCAATAATCAATAAATAAAAAGAAATCCCTAACCCCAGGTAATAAATTACACACATTACAGATACGCACGCATATTACACTGGTATATACACTGGCACTGTCAGTCAGTCACATTAAGCCTGATTGTGGTGTCATGTTGCGTTTACTAGTCTGACGGCCCATGGATAAAAACAATTTTTCATCCTATGTTCCCTTCCCCTTCCCTTCTTTGGTACTAGCACTGATAAGGTTACCTAGTTGGGTCATGAAACAACTGCAAGAAAATGATCAAGTTCCTCAGAGAGCACGAAGGACTGCATAGTCCTTCCTTCCTCCCTCCCTCTTCGCTTTCTCTTTCGCCTCCTCCCTGCAAACTCCACTCCCTTCCAGTACTGATGATGTTACCTAGTTGGGTCATGAAACGTCTGCAAGAAAACAACCAGGCTCAGAAAGCACCAAGGACCCCTCCTGTCAACCCTGAGCTACCAATATTCATTTTCTTTCTTTCTTTCTTTTTCTTTCTTTCCTTTCTTTCTTTCTCTCTCTCCCCCTCCCTCCCATACTAGCACTGATGATGTTATCTAGTTGGGTCATGAAATGTCTGCAAGAAAACCTCCCAGCTCAAGGCCCCTCATGTCAACCCTGAGCTGCAAATATTCTGCTTTATTGGTCTGGCAAATAAGCTCAGAGAAGCAGCTGCCTTTCACCCCAGAAGCGCCCTAATTTAAGGACCGGTTTGCCACGTCTGGATGTTTTTTTATCAACGCCACGAAGTGCCCTCCTTCTCGCCCGCAAAGCAAGCAGCAGCGCCCGCGTCCCTTTCTAGTGGCGGGCAGTTCCACGGGGCAACCCTGACGGCGCCGCCCTTCGAGGCAGGCAGGGCAGCCGGCCACCCACCAGTCGAACTTGCCCACTTGGTCCTCGTAGACGGCTCCCGCCGGCGGGGGAAGCCAAGAAAGGAGCAGGAGCGACAAAATAAGCAGCGGCTGGACGGGCGCCGCCATGACGACCCAAAGGAGACAGGAGCCGGAAGGGAAAAGAAAGCCTCCGCTGTCCCATCAGGCGCTGCGCGATCATAGAGGCAAGAGATAGACTTCCGGCTTCCGGCACATAGAGATATGAATGTGGTAGAGTGACCTTGAAGGCGGGGAAAAAGAAAAATCCACAGAGCAAATCTCGCTGTAATCCCTCAGCTGGCTTTGCTTGTCATATCTGAGGCGGGAATAATTTTTTTTTTAAAAACGGAGAAAATCAATCTATACATAGATCTACAGCTGCCCTCCCATCCAGGCACCGCGCGAAAGGCCCGCAACCTAAGCGTCAAAGGACCTCATGAGGGGGGAGTTGAGAGGCAGCGGCGAATATTGCCCGATGGGAGGGGTAAAAAAATAAAACAAAACTGGGAACAACTAAAACGGACCGAAATAATAATAAAAAAATATCTTATAAAGAGGCTTAACGAGGCAGAATTTTTTTCCCCGTGAGGCTTTTACTTTATTTGTTTTTTTTTTCCTGGCTCGGGAAATCAGGCGCCGCCGTGGACACCTCAACCCTTTCCGTCGGCCCGCGAGGCTCCGCCCACCGCTGCCGCTGCCGGAAGGAGCTGCACGTGGGTGGCCGCGATGCCCAAGTCCAAGCGGGACAAGAGGGGTGAGTGGGGGGGGGGGATAAGCCCCCCCGGGGGTCAGGGGGTCTCCTCTCCCCCCTTTCTCCCTCTCCCTCCCTTTCTCCTTCATCCTCTCCCTCCCTCTCCCCTCTCTGCTCTCCCTCTCTTCTCCCTCTCCTCCCTCTCCCTCCTCTTTCCCTCCCTCTCCATCTCCCCCTTTCTCCTTCATCCTCTCCCTCCCTCTCTTCTTCCTCTCCCCTCTCTCCTTCTCTCTCCCTCTTCTTTCTCTCCCTCTCCCCCCTTTCTCCCTCTCCCTCCTCTTTCCCTCCCTCTCCATCTCCCCCCTTCTCCTTCATCCCCTCCCTCCCTCTCTTCTCCCTCTCCCCCCTCTCTCTGCTCTCCCTCTCTCTCCTTCTCTCTCCCTCTCCCCCCCACGCGCTCTTTCTCTTCCTCCCCCCCATAAACACCCCCGCCAAGGGAAAGCCGGGGACGCTCTTTGCTTTTTGCACAACAACTTCACTTGCTATTTGTTTGCACAACAACCCTGCCAGGTAGGCTAAGCTGCACAACACAACATCCAGCGCCAAGAGAGAGCTGATGGGGTGGGGGTGGTGGTAGCCTTTTTCTTCTAGTCATTTTCTACCCCAAGAGTGGGGGGTGGGGGGGAACCTTTGGTTGCACAGGTAGTGCCAATTCCCATCTCTTTCGTGGGCTGAAGATACTGGGGGGTTGTAGTACTGCAAAGTGTCAGCGGTTCAACTAGCTCTATTTTTTTTTAAAAAAAATGGCTGAATTCCTAGTCACCATTTCCATTGGGGCCATGAGAGTGGACTGGATGAACTCAAAAGGAGGGTAGTAATGGATTAATGGATTGATTCCACCCTTCATTGCGGTCCTGGGTCGAGATCGGTGGGCCTCCTGAAAGACATCCGCTGGCTGCTCTGGAACTTATCCTGAAAATGGAGACTTTTTAAAAGAGAGAATACTTTGGAGCTGATAGAAGTTGCTAGTTCACAACATGGTGGGAAATGCAGATATTTAAAGTCAAGTAGGCGGATTCCCTGAAAAATTATTCAATTTTTATAGCTCCTTCCTATCTCTCCATCCTTCCTTCCCATCCATCTATATCTCTTCTTCCTTCCCTCCCATTTTTCCTTCCTTCCTTCCTTTCCATCCATCCAAACCATCTCCCCTTCCTTCCTTCTGTTCCCTGCCTGCTCCATTGTCCTTGTGCCGCAGTACAATTTCCAAATGAAACCACAATCCACAGCATTCCCTACTGAATACTGAACCCGTCTCTTTCTTCCTTGCAGTCTCCTTAACCAAAACCACCAAGAAAGGTTTGGAAGTTAAGCAAAAGCTGATAGAAGAGGTAAGCCAGCGGTCGAGCAGTCATTTCATTTAAAGGCTCCTTAAAAGGGTCGTTTTGCAGGGTGACTGTTAACTTCACTAATACAAGGATTAAATTAACGTAACTGTAATTAGCTATGTAGCGGTGTCATCTAAGTTTTCTCTTCTGTGGGAAAATCCTGACATTTGGACCTGTGAAACTTCCTCAAGATAGAAAATGCAGGGTGTGAAAAACAAAAACGAAACCAACTGCCAATTATTATTATTTTTTTGTCTTTAGCTACGAAAATGCGTGGACACCTACAAGCGTCTCTTCATTTTCTCCGTTGCCAACATGAGAAACAACAAACTGAAGGATATCCGCAGTGCTTGGAAACACAGCAGGTGACTTCCTTATAGCCATTTGGATCCTTGCCTGGAAAGCTTCCGTTTATTTAAATAGGAAAAGCGGAAACTGAAGCCCGATGCTCCCTTGAAAGAATAGTGGAGCTTTTGAATTTTCACCGGAATTTGTTTACTTTTCCTTTTTATTCCAGGATATTTTTTGGGAAGAATAAAGTGATGATTGTGGCTCTGGGTCACAGCCCTTCGGATGAATACAAAGATAACTTGCATGAGGTAAAGCGCCAGACTTTTAAAAACTACCTCACTTCGCCTGCCTGGGGCCTACTCTTAGGAAGCAGGCCCTTCCCCCAGACCTGGGCTCCCAGAATCCTGAAGCCCCACCCTGGAAAAAGTCACTTAATCATCTCATCCTTCATTTTTTTAGGTCAGCAAGCATCTGCGGGGAGAAGTTGGACTCCTTTTCACAAATCGCAAGAAGGATGAAGTTGTAAAGTAAGTTTTTTCCCAAAAAGAACACCCGAAGATTTCAACTACTGTGTTTCCCCCAAAATGAAACCCTGTCTTTATTTTTTATTTTTGCCACCAAAAAAGGCACCAGGTCTTATTTTCGGTGGATGTCGTCCGCTGACTAACCTCACTTGCACGCATTGCACTTGGCTTCCTTTTTGCTGTCAGAGACCTTCGGGAATTTCCTCTTCTGCAGCCGGCAAGGCTTTCCTGAAGGCCTCTGGAGCCCATAACTGAGTTCTGGATTGTCCAGAGCTTTGTTATCGGCTCCAGAGGCCTTCAGAAAAGCCTTGCCAGCCATGCCGGCTGCAGAAAAAAATGGACCAGCAAGGCAGGTGTCAAGAGTGTGCGAGGCCTGGCTACAACTGTCCAAAGGTATCTAGTGGGGCAGCTCCACTCCTCCCCATTCTCACCCTTGCTTAATTTTTACCCATCCACTCTGGAGTGGATGGTATCTTATTTAGGGCTTATTTTAGGGATAGGGTTTATATTGGATGCAGATGTAAAAATCAAGCTAGGACTTACTTTGAAGGTAGGGCGTATTTTCGGGGGGGGGGGAGGTAGGAAAACCTGTATTTTTAAGTGGGGGGATCGTGGAAGCGTTCAGTGGAAGCTTTTTGAGAAGGGCTGTGTCCTGGCACCCCTTGCCCTGTTAACCAGCCTGTGGGCTGCCCTGTAACCGTTTTTTAAGCCCCAAGACAAAGAGGGCAAATCACAGAATTCCAGTCTGAATTACTGTGCCTTTTCTGCTCTCAGAAGCAAAATAAAATCTTCTCTTTACGGTATTGCTAGTTAGTTGTAGAATCAGTTGCCCTGTATCCTGTTTTCAGCCATCTGAATTCACCGTCCCTGTAGCGCTTCCTGAAAAAATGGTAGCGTGATGACCTCTAGGGCATGGTACAAAGACAACCCAGCCAGATAATAAGTAGGGATCCCTTTATTAGCTACCTTCTGGTTTGGAGAAAAACTCTCCCAGGAACCTGCAACAGCCTTTGGCTGCAAATATTCTAGTCCAAAACCTATAAATCCACCAAAGCAATAAATGCAGAAGTGAAGTAACATGGCAGTAAATCAAACCATTTGGGAGGATTCCAGGAACGCAGATAACAGCAGCCACCATTTTGATAAACTCAACGTTTCTTCTCGGAAAACACAGCTTGCAACTACCTCTCCTTTAAGCTCCTTTCCCAGGTGTGCCTTGTTAAGGGAATCAGGACCCTCTCCTCCCTCGTAAGTCATGACACCCACGTTACTCTCTTCTCCATTCTTCCCTGCGTGCCCTAGGATGAAGAGGGGGTGAGCTTTGGTCTTCTTCCAAACCTCTCTCCCTTGTTCTGCCTCTCCCCTGCTCTGCCCAGCCTGACTTTGCCCTTCCCCAGTTTCCTCCACAGCCAACGGAGCCACATTCCTACTCCGTCCGCTGTTCGTCTTGGTCCTCGGAGTCAGACTCCGATGGGAGCATGACAGGTATTTCTTCCTTCACCTTTCTCGCCTCACCTCTGGTTGTCCAGGTGATACCACGGGAGAATGGAAGAACAGAGTGGCTAGTCCCTATGAATTTCCACTCCGCACCTCTCTTTTCCTTTTGCAGCTGGTTTTCCCAATTCAGAGAGACTGATTTTGCCCGGGCTGGAAACAAGGCCACCTTCACAGTCCATTTGGATATGGGACCCCTGGAGCAGTTTTCCCATTCCATGGAACCTCAGCTGAGGCAGCTTGGATTGCCCACCGCCCTAAAAAAAGGTTGGGACCCTAACCTGAGAAAACACTGGCGGGGTTCTTTCCTCTGGCAACCTCCCTTCATATATTTTCTTCTTCCCTTTCCCAGGTGTAGTGACGCTTCTCTCTGATTACGAGGTTTGCAAAGAGGGGGACATCCTCACCCCAGAACAAGCTCGCATCTTGGTGAGTGGCTGCAGAGGATCCTTCTTTCATAGCTTCATTTTCCACGATTAGATTCCCCTATATGCGCAACCCCATTGCGCCACGATACTTGAGAATTGCGTCAGAAACTTGGAAACTGAAACGCAAACTAATTTTTCATTCCTGTTTCTTCCAGATTTAAGTTACCGGCGCGTTTCGTTCCTTCACAGACAGTTGTAAAATACTTTCCCAGACTGACACCTCTCTCTCTCGAGTGCAAATTTTGATTAACATGCATGAAAAGATAGCTGTTATTTAAATACCGCAGGGAGTTTTCTTTTTTCTTCTAATTCTGTAATTTAATCGTGCAAAGACGACCCTGAACATTTATTCCACCTTATTACAGAGGTTTGTCTCCCTTGTTCTTCAATCCTGAAGCTTAAGTTAGTTTTCCTGACAGCCACAGTGAGCGGTTTCTACTGAAATGTAGAGGCTTTCCCATTTTTTTCCTGTACCTTGGACCAGGGGTCTTCAAGGTTGGCAATCTTGAAAACTTACGGTGACCTTCTACCGCTGCACCATAGAGAGTATCTTAACTTACTGCACCTCTGTATGGTTTGCCAATTGCACGGTGGCAGATAGGAAGGCACTCCAGAGGGTTAACGTCATTGCCCAGAGGATAATGGGTTGCCCTCTCCCCTCTTTGGAAGAGCTTTATAGCTCCCGCTGCCTTAAGAAAGTTCAAAACATCCTCAAAGATCCATCTCATCCTGGGAACCCTTTTTTTTTTTAACTATTACCATCTGGCAGACGGTACAGGATAATAAAAACAAGGACAAATAGGCTGAAAAACAGCTTCTATCCCAGGGCAGGAGCTCTATTGAATTCTATTGTATATAATGCAGTTTTGGTGCAGTGTTGCGGGTTTTCAATTCAGTGTGTGGAGTGTGAAGGATGTGTGTTTGTGTTTATTTTCATGGTCATGAAGTGCACTGAAAATGGTGTTCGATTTCATTGTACGAGATGCAATGACAAAGTAAACTAAACATTTTAACACCTGTGGGCTTCAACTGCCAGAATTCCTCTTCCTCCAGTCGTGTTACCTCAGGAATTCTGGGAGTTGAAGTCCACAAGTCTTCACACTCGCCAACTTTGAAGACCCTTTTGCCTTACGACTGTCACGCCCATATTTGATTTTTCCGGTTCTGAGCGCCGTGTGTGAGACGTCAATGCTTTTAATTTCAGAAACTTTTTGGATACGCAATGGCCGAGTTTAATGTGGTGATCAGGAGCATGTGGGATGCTGAGACGGGAGAATTTGAACAGCTGGAGGCCCCCACAGGGGACCCTTCAGGCGAGATGGAGGAGGAGGAGGAGGAAGATGCAAGCAATGAAGGAAACTAGAGCAGAAGAGATACCAATGGACTTGACTTTCTTATGAGTTTCATAACTGCTCTCCTCTTAATGGAGGGCTGAACTAATAATTTAAAGATACTGTCATAATATGACGTTTTAAAGGGGTATGTGTGTATATAGATATATATATGTGTCTATAAAAATGTATAAAAGAACTTACAGCATGTTTGTTGTCTTTATAACCGATTAAATTTTGTAGAACCAATAATTCAACATTAGGATGGGTGTCTTGCAGCAAGCTCTGTTTAATTCCCCTTTCCCTAAGAATTGAGAGCCACCTCCGCCCCCCGGCAGGCCTTCCTTCAGCGGAAGTAGTTGGGGCAGTCATGCGCTGTGAGGTGCCAAGCTTTCTCAAATGCCTCCACCACGCTCGGGACGAGAGGCCCCTCCTCGCTGGAGCGGAGATTTTCCTGCAATTGGTCCATGTTGGACATGCCAATAATCACAGCGTCTCCATATTTATCCTGCGGAAGGGAAGGGAAGAATAAAACTGCACGAGCAACAGCCAGATCAAAGGAGTAAAGTCATGTCAGGAGAAGGATTGGGGTTGAAAACGGAAGGCATCCCTTTCGTTACCCCACAGAGAAGAGTTCAAAGTTAAGCCAACCCTAAAGACCGACGGATTTTGCAACCAGGAAGGCCGAAAGCTTGCTCTTTAAAACTTTCAGAGATGTCCCAAAGATGGTTTTTCAAGAGGCAACTATAACTTACTTGTTTTTTCTTTGAATCGTGTTGCCAACAGCCAAGGACCTCTTGTTCTGGTTGCAGTTGGCCTGAACTGGCCTTGTTGCTCTGGCTAGCTAAGTTCATGGGCGGCCTCATCGCCCGTCCATCACCGGGGGAGCGAAAGGAGGACGGTGAGGCTCAGCCCATCTTCTCCAGCCGTCTCCTCAAGGGGGGGCTTGTTTTCGCTTCGTCCTTGGCTGTTCGCAGCGTGTTTCAAAGAAAAACCAGGAAGTCCAGTTGCCTCTGGAAAAAGCACCTTAGGGACAGCCATGACCTGGATGGCTGAGAATCTCCATAAACCAACAGCAGAGGCCCATTTTTTAATATTATTTCCAGGATAATACCGTTTCCCCGAAAATATGACCTATCCTGGAAGAAAGTCCTAGCTTGATTTTACACATGCACCCAAAATAAGCCCCATCCCTAAAATAAGCCCTAATTAATATCCCACTCACTCCAGAGTACATGGGTAAAAATTAAGCTTGGTGGTGGAGTTGCCCTACTACTTACCTTTGGACGGTTGTAGCCAGGCCTCACACACCCCGACACCTGCCTTGCCGGCCCATTTCTTCTGCAGCTGGCAAGACTTTCCTGAAGGCCTCTGTAGCTGAGAACAAAGCTCTGGATCGATCCTGAGCTCTGTTATCCACTGCAGAAGCCTTCAGGAAAGCCTTGCTGGACACAGAAAAAATTCCTGAAGGCCTCTGGCAGTGAAAAGGAGGCTGGGAGTGACATGCGCAAGTGGGTTTAGTCAATGGATGACGTCTCCCGAAAATAAGACCTGGTGCCTTTTTTGGTGGCAAAAAAAATATATATAAGACGGCCTTATTTGTGGGGGGGAAACAGTATTCGGCCTTACCTGCAGTTCTGAGTGATGGTAGACCCAGCGCAGGGCAGCGGAGGTCAAAGTGGGAGGATTTGCACCATATGCTTCACGGAGGGCACTTTGGATCAAGGACACTCCATCAAAATGGTGCTGCTTCCAATACCTGGAGCGGTTATTTAAAAACAAAACAAAACACTTAATATCCTACCACTTAAAAAAAACCAACGGCCTGGCCTAAATAAGCAGTAAAAGCAGAACTAAAACAATTTAGCAGAAAGGAAGTAACTGTCAGCTTTAGAAGCCATATTAGCACCAGACACTTCCACGCCGCCACATTTTTAAGCCTGGGAAAATGGGAGAGGGGAATTTCTTGGAGCGCACAGGTGGTTAGACAGAATAGCACTTTTTTTCTAAGTCAAGGTCATGTTATCTCTGCACCTGGGTGAGAGGACGTCTCGAGTTCGGATGGATGGCAATAGGGGCATGTGATGTGATGGGTGCAGGGGGTGGGTTTGTAATTTTGTTACTTATTGCAAAAAAAAAAAAAACAGAACTTTCAGATTTGGGTTTTCCCAACTGTGCCAGTTTACTACTCAAATAAAAAAGAATTTTGGAGACAATGTCTGTCTCGGAGTTTTTTTGTTGGAGTGGAGATTTTCAGGAACGCTTACAGTAATACTTTACAGAATAACGGAAAGGCAAGCAATGCAAAACTTCTGTATCTAAGCTGTCCTCGAGTTACAAAAGTTCATTTAGTGACCGAGGTTGCAGCGGCGCTGGAAAAAGATATTTTATGACCATTTTTCATACTTGCAACTGTGGCAGCCTTCCCCAGGGTCACGGGATTAAAATTCAGACACTTGGCAACTGATTCATATTTGTGACAGTCACAGTGTCCTGGAGTCACGTGTTCCCGTTTTGTGACAAGCGAAGTCAATGGAGAAGCCAGATTCACTTTAACAGCTCTGTGACTCACTTAAGAACCACAGGGGTTTGCTTAACCACTGTGGCGAAAAAGGTCGTAAAATGGAGCAAAATTCACTTAGCAATTGTCTTTCTTAGCAACAGAAATTCTGGGCTCAATTGGGGCTGTAATTCGAGGACCATGATGAGGGGACTGGAGGCTAAAACATAGGAAGAACGGTTGCAGGAACCGGGCCTGGCTAGTCTAGGGAAGAGAAGGACCAGGGGAGACAGG